TTACCTCCTATGGCGAAGAGGAATTAAGGTTGCTGATGGATGCTGTTCAACTGATCTGGAAATGAGGTTATTCTGGATTATCTGAGTGGGCCCAGTGTAATCACAAGAATCCTTAAATGTGGAAGAAGGAGTGTCAGAAGGGCTTGGCCTGATGTTGCTGGATTTGAAGATAGAGGAAGGGGACCATGAGCCAAGGAAAGTTGGTGGGCTCAAGAATCTGGAAAAGGTAAGAAAATGATTCTCCTCTGGAACCTCCAGAAAGGAACACAGCCCTGCCCACACCTTGATTTTAGTCTACTGAGAATCATGTTGGACTTCTGACCTCAAGAACTATAACACATTTGTGTTGTGTTATGCCACTAAGTTTGTAGTAATTTGTTACAGCAGCAATAGACAACTAACATAGGCCCTGTGATTTACAGTAAGACTCATCCTGAGTGATACAGGAAGCCATTGGAAGGTCTTAGACAGACCTGATCTGACTTCTTAGGATCATCGTGGATGCTGTGTTAAGAATAGACTGTAGATGGATTCCTTCCTTTGTGCAGCCTTTGGCTTTACCTTTCTGTATTTTATTCATTTAAGATTATAAAAATATATAAGTTCACATTTTTAATAAATCCAGGTCTCTGACCTGTTTTGTTGCTGGAAGTGAAAGTGTGAACTGCAGTTTAAATTAAACCTCTCTGTAAAACACCTCAGAATTGAAAAATACTGAGGTAACTGCCTATACCCCAATATATAAAATCGAGTGAATTAATCTGAAGCATATTACCTTTAATGAAAATTGGTAAAGAAATTTGTAAGAATATTTGAAAATTATATTCCTTATAAAAATGAAAATACAAAAAATGTTCAGGTGACATATAAAATGCCACTTATGCTATTGCCTTTTTCAAGTCCTAAAAAACATAGTGGTATTATTTTAAATTTGCTATTTGAATTAATTCTGTAGCATTTCATTACAATGTTCCCTGCTCAGAGAGTGACTTTACCTAAAAATAAATTAGGGCTTCAAGAAAAAGAGCTAACTTTTCCCAAAATGAATGAAGATGGGAAACTTTGACAATATTCACAAGAGTGATAGGGATTGGGCTATGGGGAGGAGGATGGGTATTGCTGTTTAGCTCCTTGTAAATCCTATCTAGCAAGGGTTGACAGAGGAGTGGGAAGAAAGATACATAAGAAAGACAGTAAGATATCAATATATCTAGGTTATGAGTTAATCCAGAATTCGAGAGTGTTGTTTTAAAATATTAAGTGGTCTATTTATGTCAACATACAATAAACACTTGTTGGTTTGCTTTCTGTCTTACTGTAATGATGCCACTATTTTCTTCTCCATTCCTTTATTATTTTAGAGCTTTTCTTGACATTTTGCAATGGGGAAGGGAGAAAAATTCTTCAAAAATTTTACTTCTAAAAGGACTAAGCTGTGCTCTAGACTATATGCTGTCTCTAAGCAGCTGGGTTAAAATATATACAGAATGAGTTACTGGCTCAAACAAGGATCAAACAGGTTTTTCCTAACTTTAAGAACAATGATCTTATAAAACACTCCATAGACAAATACAACCAAAACTTAAATGCAATTAACCTTTAATTTATGTACATGAATGAAGAGGGATCTGAGGCATTAAAAACTTAAAATAGCTAATTCAAAAGTAAATTATACTTGGCATTGGAAATCCTTATAATTCCCTACATCATTTTTCTTTCTTATGTTCCTCCTAAGCTAATAAGAAAGTTAATTTTCCATTCTTGAATGCAGATAAACTGATTGTGGAAAGAAGTGGTCCAGCATTTTGATGGGTTGAGGAGAGAAGCTTGCCTAGGATTAAAACGTGAACTTTAGAAGTTGACTTATTTTCACGTCATCAATGTTTTTGAGTCAAAGGTGCTATATAGCAGAGTCTTCTACCAGGGTTCCTCATTCTGATCATTCCCCTCTCCATTTCTTTCTTGGTAAGGTAGACCAACTACAGCTCCCTCAGAGATGAGGGTGGGGCCAATCTCATCCAAATCTTATAGCTTCTGAGGTGGTGTCTGGGTGTGGTAGTGATGGTGGTAGGGCAGAGGTGGGATAAATCTTTAGGAGGTAAGTACAGTGTTACCCTCAGATAGCTTTAAGACAGTATCATTTATAATTTTTTAAAAGTTGGTCTAGGCCAGGCACGGTGGCTCACGCCTGTAATCCCAGCACTTTGGGAGTTCAAGGCGGGTGGATCACGAGGTCAGGAGATTGAGACCATCCTGGCTAACACGGTGAAACCCCGTCTCTACTAAAAAATACAAAAAACTAGCCGGGCGAGGTGGAGGGCGCCTGTAGTCCCAGCTACTCGGAGGCTGAGGCAGGAGAATGGCGTGAACTCGGGAGGCGGAGCTTGCAGTGAGCCGAGATCGCGCCACTGCACTCCAGCCTGGGCGACAAAAGCGAGACTCCGTCTCAAAAACAAAACAAAACAAAACAAAAAAAAAACAAAAGTTGGTCCAAAAAGAGATAAAAGAAAAAGACTTCATGGTGTGGTAGAAAAAACTATACGGTAAATAAGATCCTGGTTCCAGGTCTCCCTGTTTACATCTGCAATCTCTGGGGTGTCTCTTGATCTTTTTGAGACACAGTATCTTCCTGTGTGAAGACAGGGTCATCATCCGTGCCTTACCCAACGCCCCCCCCCGTTTTGCTGTGAAGATCAAATCAGATGATAGGTGTGAAAGTACTTTGAAATGTGTAAAGTGTTATACAAATATAACATGTTGTCTTTGTCTTTAGTACTCAGAATACTTAAGGGATTTAAAGAAATCATTCTGTGCTTGTAAAGCAGATTAGAATAAAAGCTGGTGAAACTCATCATTACTAATAAAAAATTACTCAAAGTATATGCCAATGGTACTGTCTCTATGAATTTTTTTTTTTAAACCACACTTTTTGTTTCCTGGGAGAGTGTCCTTGGAAGCCTCTGTACACAGCACTTGGAGCTTCCAGTACTCCTGATCTGCCTTCTTCTGGTCCACCAGCTACCATCTGCCCCCATGATTCTGGGCAGCTGGATTGCCTCCTTAAATCTGATCATCCTCACTCTTCCTTCAGAAGCCACACTTCTTTTTCTATTGAAAGGGCTCCTCCACTGAACTGTGAGCACTGTCCTCTTAAATGACTCAGTAGCTCTTGTGTGGCAAGGCAGAATTATCCTTAGGTGACAAAGAGGCAGAACTCTTATCTGCTGATTCATGATAGCACAGACGTAGCCCATATGCAATTGGAACTTATTTGGGGTCAGGGGTCATTTTTTTTGGTTTAACCTTAAACCCGGTGCCTTACAAAGTGTAGGTACTTGGTAAATAGTTCTTAAATTGATGTGATAAATATATCAGATAACTTGCTTTATCAGGGCTTTAAGCTCAGATTAGTGGGTTATTTAAAGGATAAATATTCTGTCTCTATATTTGTATCTGGGATTATGGTGACATGAAGAATTGCTTTGAGTAGCTCCTATCACTTGACAGCGTCCTTGTTTTTCTTATATTGCTTACTCTTATACCCTGCTTAGGACCGGATTAGACTGCAGGAATATGTACAAGAGAGGGTGAGGAATTGAACTGGATGGAAAAAAGAAACACTAGTCCTCACCCTGGAGTTTAAAAGAATGAGAATGAGCCTCGTGATATCATAGTTGGAAATTTAAACTTGTTATTAATATGAAAAACTCTACCGTCACATCATTTATTTCTTGCTATTAGAGATCTTGTAGGGAATTCTAGCAACTTGGAAGCAGTGAGAAAAGTTGAGGCATCTCTAATTCATAATCAAAATTTATCCTTTCAGGATATTCTTTTTAAAAATTATTAACATTTCTTAACATGTTTCCTTTTTTTACCTTAAAAATATCCACATTTTCAAAAGAGAAGTACATTCATAACTCCACCATCTTGATATTTTAATCTTACATATATCTTCCAATCCTTGTCCAAATGTATGTTTAAAAATATTTTACATATTTTTTTCTGTGCATATTATTTTTGTTTCTGAGTTTCCCTGGGAGTACTGTATTTGCCAGATGAGGGCTCAATTTCTGAATGGCTCTGAGAATCCTAATTTATGCTGCTGTAGAAACTGACCAAAATGGGTTGGCATCCCCTGGGCAGGTATGTCCTCAAATTTAGAAGGCTCCGTTTGGAGGCTGAAGCAGGAAGTGACTATGAGCTGTGCGATAACGAGCAGAGTTCAGTGTAAGGCAATAAAGATAGGTTTTATAAGAAAAGATGTAGGTAGATATTTAAGTAAAATAATTTCAGATGTTAGGAAAGTCCTTCTCCCCACCCAACCCAAACAAGAAACAACAACAAAAAACCCAACTAAACAACCATTACAATAAATGCACCTCTCCCACTAGTTAACATGTATACTTATACTAAAGGTCAGTTTAAGAAAGCACTAACGTTTAAGATGGAAAACTTAAAATATTAGTAGTTGACATAAGGTTTACAAAAGGGGCAAGAGAAGACGGCAGTCTCTCTGATAGGAATGGGGAGTTAGCGGCATGGTACAGCCCCTATCCACTTTTCAAGGAAGAACGGTGAAAAGGTATCCAGGAAACAGCACAAAACCAAAAAACTGTAAAATTAGGAATTCCTAATTTTGCCAGAGTCAGGTTCTTTCAGATTATTTAGGTTTTATAAGAGAGGAGTGAAAATGAAAAAGCCAAATATAAATTATCCGAAAACTGCCACAGGAAAGACTCTTGCAGGCTCAGAAGACGGCTGTGGAAAAGTCATTCCTAGAACTCTCCAGGATGCATCAGGCCGACCACCTGTTTGCGGAGGGGTTTAGAGCAAGGAAGGGGCCCTAACTCCGGGGAGGAGGGCGCCCCCTCCTCGGTTCCCGGAGCCGGTGGAGGCGTTTGGGGAGCGGGCGGCGCGGTGCACAGGTGGCGGGGGCCGCGCCAGCTGCGCGCCACGCTCTGCTCCGCGGGTGGGCCGCCAGGCGTCGCGCTGGAGCCGCGGTTGCCCTGGAGACCGAGTGGGGCGAGTGGGCGGCGCGGCGAGGAGCCGAGCTGCGGCTGAAGTAGCGGGCGTGAGTTGGGGGGAGTGGCTCCCCGGGCGGCGCGAGGGGTCGACTGGTCCTGGGGCAGGGCTAGGTGGCCGTGAGCTGCGGGGCGCGGCTGGCTAGCCTGGAACGCCTCTGGTCACAGCTCAGCGTCCGCGGAGCCGGGCGGCGCTGCAGCTGCACTTGGCTCTTCTGTGCGTCCGACTGTCCCAGCTCCGCGCGGAGGACAGCGGCCCGGCGCTGGGTCCGGGAGGACCAGGCTGCCCCAAAGAGCGCGGAGAGTCACGCCCGCGCTTCTACTGCCGCGACCGGGAGCCGGGTAGGCGGCAGGCGCGCTCCCTGCGGCCCCGGGATGACTTCTCGGCGCTCCCCACTGGCGCCTTTGCTGCTTCTCTCTCTGCACGGTGAGTAGCCCCAACCCTTTCCTCCCAGTGGGGCCAGGCTGGGTCGGCGGGCCTGGGGCGAAGCTGTCTGGGGACGGCAAAGAGCCTCCTTGCTTTGCCGAGGGTCGAGAGTCCAACTTTCTCAGGGGCTGTGTTCGTTGCTGCGACCGAGGCTCGCGCGCACCTGCAGCGGCTGCTTCCGCCGCCCGCTCAGCCCAGGTGTTCCTCATCAGAGAGGTAACTAAACTCGCCCCGCTACCTCCGGTCCCGGGCTGGGCCCCGACTCTCACCTCGCTGCGCTGTGGGGGATGCAGGATCGTTTTTAGATAACGAACTCCCTTACTCACTGGTCCAGTTAGAAACTGTAGTTAGAACCAGTTGCCTTTACTAGGCGGCCCTAGGAAAACTAGAAGTGCTTTTAAAATCATTTGGAAAGCTTTATAGCTTTAACGTAATCTTTTGGAAGCCTATACACGTTTTGGCCGAAAATGATCTTTATTTTAAAAAATAATTGTATACTGTGCTATGCTATATTAGAAAACAATAATTTATTTATACTCTAGCTTCATCTCCAGATGACTTAAGTTGGCTCACAAAAATACGTAGAATATAACAATATTAGAACAAAATAAATGTCTTTAAATTTCTTGTTAACAGTTTTAAAAACATCTGTTTATAAATTTAATTTTCTACTCTCTGCTTAATCTTTCTTACATTTTATTTTCAGTGAATAGCCGTCATATTTAGATCCTGATTTTCATCCTATACAATGCTGTTTGTTTTTTGTGTGTGCATTGTCCTGTGCAATCCAGTTTTCTGTCCCATTTATTGCTGAGATTTACTGAGTTTTTTTCTAAAGGGTGTTATTTATAAATAAAAAGCGGGTTCAGTGATTTATGGAACTTTGTGGTTAACCCTGTTTTTTTTTTTTTTTTTTTTTCTGGAGACACCAGCATGTTTCCAGTCATTTTATGGCCTTATTCGAACTGATTTTGAAGTAGCCTAATTCTAGCCAACTTAAATTGTGCAGATTCATTGAATAGGGGAGAAGAGAATACGAGAACTTTTTGTATGTCTTCTCCATAGAAACTAGTGAAGCTGTAATCATCAAAATTACAGATAATTTTCTAGAGTTCAGTAGGTATATTTTTAGTGATGGTGTGCAGACAATAACATCAATATGTACGTTATGAACTTGTGCTTCCAAATATCTTTTGTACTGTTACTAGTTTGAGATGGCCAGTTTTTCTCTCTGCCCTACTACTTTTTAAGTGTGAAATAAGAGGGTAAATCGGCTTTTTATGAAGTCCTTGGACACAGCTCTAAATATTACCAATATTACAAGAGCAGCTCAAATTTTTGGTAGAATAATCTGTTATTAAAGTTGTATATTATAATAAATGCTACTCTTTTTGTAAGTAGCGTTTGTGTATAGTTTGTTTTTGAAGTATCAGGCAGTACTTTAAAAGAGTTGATATAATTCGCAGAATCAGCCTTGCAAGGTCATCTGATTTGTTCTTTTTTTCTTCAGCAAAACTATTCCCAAGCCATACAAGAATGTTTTTAAAGACTTTCAAGGACATCTCAGTCTTGGCAATAACCTGTTATGTAGAGGCATTTTCCACTTTCAAAAACAGTGTTCATTTGTTCAACAGATATTTACAGAGCCATCAGTCTGTGCATTTGAGTATCTGGTGGGGAAAGGTGGTGGTGGAATACAAAGATGTGTGTGTGTGAGTGTCTGCAGCCCGTAAGGAGTTTGCATTTTTAAAACAGGCTATAAGCATGTACAAATAATTTATGATACAGTGAATGTATGAGGAGTTCTATTTGTTAATGTGGGTATCAAGTAAGACTTCTTGGAGAAGTTTTCTTTTTTTTCTGGGCATTGAATGAGTAGGGTATGAATTGGCTCAGATGGTAGTGGACGGGCTTTCTTAACCAAAGGAACAGCCTGAAGGAAGGATGTGAAGTGGAGCAGGCAGAGGTATACTCTTGAAAGGCCAAGCTGCTAGAGCAGGAGATGTGTGCAAGGGAGAAAGAGCCAGAAAGTAGTTGGGGGCAAGATAGTAGAGAATCTTGAATGCTGCGTTTGGGCTTTATTCAGCTGGCCATGGAAAAAGTATTGATGTTCAGTTTCCTTACTGTGGGCGGGGGGGGGGGGGGGGGGAGGGAAAGAGGATGAACAGTTAGTGTGCCTGTTTGTGCTAGCCCACCTATCTCCAGGAGAGTACTATGCCCTAATCGAATTTTATTCTTGAACTAGTCAAGGGCAAACTTGGTTTGAATGAATTATGGTTCATCCCCAGAACTTTCAATGTGGAATAGCAGGAGGGGTGTATATCTGAACAAAGTTTGTTCTATTACAAAGGGGTAAAGGGGAATGGATGTTAGATAAATAACCAATAGTAGTGGCCACTACAGTGAAATAATACACCAAAGGTAGAAATAGAGGGTCTTTTCAATAAATGAAAGAAAATCGATGTTAATAAATTTCTGTTTCTATTTCTGTTTTTTTTAAATTTTGTTTATATTTGTGGAGTAACTTCAAAGGTAATTTGAATTGAAAAGCTGACTTCTTTATAGTTCTTCCAATGGGTTAGATATAACTAAAGTGTTTCTTGTACTTGTGATTCCTTGAAATAGCAGATAACTTTTCAGAATTTGAGAAAATGTATAAAAAGAAAGAAACGACCACATAAAATGCTATGAAAATGAAAAAAGTCGTGAACCTTTTCAGTGTTACCATTATTAAAAATTTATTGTAAAATCCAGTTTCTCAGCTCTAAATTTAATACTGTAATTGTTTTAGAAGGATTCACCTGTCAGTAAAAATCTGTAGTTTAACCTACATGAAAGGTGACAGCTACGGGATGAAAATTTCAGAGACGTTGAGCCTAATACACATGTATATTCAACATGGACTATTCAGGAAGAAATTTAAATATTAAATTACCAAGCACTTAAAAAGCGTTATGCTTGGAACTGTTGTCAGACACTAGGTAATGATGCAAGGGGTAAAAGTACTTGTTTTGGCTTCCCCTCCCCGGATAACAGTATGTGGCACATTTTGAAATGTGTTTTCACACTTTCATAGTGGAAAGATTTATAATGAAAATTCTCATTTGAGTCTTCATACTTACGCCATGTGATTTATTGTCAAACAAGGTGATGTGCTGGTGCAAAAGATTCTTTAGTTGCAGTGAGTATTACAAAACAAGGGACAGGAAGTACTTACTGAGCTGGGAGAAAGTACAGAAAATGGTGGCTTTCCCACTAAGGCTTTCCATCTGTAACTACTTAGTTTGTTTGTTTGTTTATTTATTTATTTGAGATGGAGTCTGGCTTTTGTTGCCCAGGCTGGAGTGCAGTGGTGCGATCTTGGCTCACTGCAACCCCTGACTCCCGGGTTCCAGCAATTCTCCTGCCTCAGCCTCCCGAGTAGCTGGGATTACAGGTGCCCACCACCACCCCTGGCTAATTTTTGTAGTTTTTGTAGTTTTAGTAGAGACAGGGTTTCACCATGTTGGCCAGGCTGGTCTTGAACTCCTGACCTCAAGTGATTTGCTCGCCCCAGTCACCCAAAGTGCAGGGATTACAGGCCTCAGCCACCGCGCCTGGCCCCATTACTAGTTTATTTAGAATAGGGATTCCAAATCTATTGTCGTCTAGACTAATGATAATTTTTTATACTCTCTCAACACTTAATTATTTTAGGCAGTTTGAGGAGGATTTGCTGAATTTCTGTTTTCTAATTTACTTCAAGTGAACACAGTCATCTCAACTTTCTCTTTCTTTGTTTGGTGAGGACTAGCTGGCACTAATACATCTCATCCCTGCATTTTGGGAACTGCCCCCACACCATCTGGAGGATCTGAAATCTTCTCTTGATCGTACTTTGTGAGCAACTGGCTTCAGAGAGGTTGTTGGTTCTTGGGTGGTATTCAAAAAGCCATCTGATTTGAGCTGAGTTTGGTCTTAAAAGTGGAAAGTTAATTAGTTTACTTATTAGTTAAGCCTATCTTACTAAGCCATGGAAGGATTTTTTTTTTTTCTGTTAATGTCTGGGTAATTAATTTTCTGTGTACCTGGTTTTCTACCACCCAAGAACAAGACCAGAGTAGTGGTTTGCATTTGTAATGGTTTTAAATTGTAGAAGTATGAAGTTAGCCACAGAGAGAAAATGTGTTTCCAATTTGCACATAATAGACTCAGCCAATGATCTACCACATCATCATTGCCTTTATCAGATATTATATAGGTACAGTATGGCTCTGCCTCATTCATATATTACAGAAAGGATCATATTTTGATAAGTGTCACTAGAATATTTACAGAATAGAATAAAACCCATACAAATTTACTATTATGGGCAAAGTGTGTTCAATAAAAAGTTATTTGAAAAAGTCTACTTACTGGTTTGTTTTCATTTAGCAGTTAACTCTGTTGATCTTGAGAGAGATATAAGCTGACAGTATTAGAGGACACTTTTATTTAGAAAAGGATTCCTGGAAAGAAACAGATCTTAGAAGGACCGAGTTCAGAAAATTCTTGTATCACGTAGAGTTCCTTGGGAAGATCTTCAGATAATTAGGTTAACGTTAGCAGCCATTAATGGTAGTAGACCAGGGTTTAGGGTTGGAATAGGTGGTTAAAGTATAATAGGTTTGTGGGACTGGAAAGCCAATGCCATTTTTTCACTGAGGGTAACAAATAGGTAATTAAATACAATATGACTTTGTGAATGTAACTCTAATGTAATGAGGCCACTTGTAGGCTGGTCTTAAAAGAATTATCAGTTCAATATTTTTAGAAATTTAAGTTTAAATATTTACCAAAGTCTGTTGAAGATCCCAACAATGGAAACATAACAGTGTCCTAATTTAGAGAACCCCTTTACTCACTTTTGCCCAAAGTTTCACTGTTCACAGCAGTCACACACATAAAACCTTTCTCTTCTGTATTCCCCTTAATGATTGTTTTTTCTTTTTACTTGTCATCGTCTCCTTCCATTTTGCAAG